TTGAAATATGCTAATATTATATTTATTGATAACATAAACAGTCTGCTAGGCTCTGACCAGAGTCCTCCGGGGTTCAGGGGTTTAGGGTTCAGGAGCCTAAGTAGTTCCTTCTGGGGATTACCTTATAGGATTCTAAATATAAACCACAAGAAGGAACTACTTTGGAGCCTATGGGTAGTTCTCTGACTTCGGGTTCCTTTTAGGGTCCTGTTTTTTGAAGGGTCTGCACTACAGTATTTTGGGGGGACCGAAAAAGGGGACCCTAATCTAGAGAACTATACATACGAGGGGCCTTCACAGTCAGAGTTAGGTACAGTTTAGTTCCACAGAACTCATTGCTGGGGTCTCTTGCAGAGAACGAGATGTACCTTCCAGATATGGTACACATGGTACACAGGGGTTTAGGCTTTAGGGGTTTAGGTTTTCGAACCCTAAAGCCTAAACTTCCTAAACCCTAGGGATGTATAAGCCCATGAAGGCCACAGGTTCCGCGACAGGCGAGCCTGATTGTGGTAGGCCTGCCTTGGTGCAACCCTGGAGTCCCAAATCTGACGCTCCGTCTTCGAAGGAGAAATTAAGGCGAATTGCAGGCCTCCCGCTCGTCCCGCTTCTCTTGGCCTAAGTAGTTCCTTTTTTGTGGCTTATATTTAGAATCCTATAAGGTAACCCCAAAAAGGAACTACTTAGGGGCCTATGGGTAACCCCTAAGCCCCCAAACCCTAAACCCTCCATAGATCCCTTAAAGGAGCCCTTCAATTTAAAGGAACTATTGTAACCCCTAAGCCCCGAAACCCTCAACTTTTCGACAAGGCAAGGACGTGCGGACCTGAGGTTTCACTGGGAGGTTGCGACTGCGCCTCCAAGGAGTGGAGGGGAGGATTTGCTTGCGGGTTGAGGTATTAGGGTTTAGAATTGAGGGTTTCAGGCTTTAGGGTTTAGGGCTCTGGGGTTTTAGGGTTGAGGGTTTAGGGTTTAGGGCTTTAGGGTTTTAGGGTTTAGGGTTTAAGGGTTTAGGGTTGAGGGTTTTAGGGTTTAGGGTTGAAGGTTTAGCGTTTGAGGGGTTAGGGTTTAGAGTTTTAGGGTTTAGGGTTGAGGTCTTACACCGAAAGGCAACATCAAAGATGTGGTATGAACACCCTCCATTCGCGTTTGGGATCTACGGAAGAGTAGAGTTTGCTTTCCAAGCCTTAGACTTGCCCAAGGTCCTAAAACCCACCAAACCCAATGACCTGAACTCCAAACCCAATCCGCACGTATACTCTACTTAGACGTTGTGGAAGTTTAGGGGGAGAGCGATACTCCCAGCAACTTCCGAGTTGTTGAGGGTGCAAAGTTGCAGGGACACCCTGAGAAATACTCTCCTGCTCTGGAAGTAATTCATCGGCACCCCCTGGTACCATGCGAGAGTGCCGAGACCTCCCTGGGAGGATCTAAACTAGACGGTTTCGGGTTTAATACGCGGGCTTCAGGGTTACATAGACAGTACAAGGCCCTACTGACGGCGCATATCTCTGAAGGATCGCCTTATCGGGAACTATCGGAGGGACCTGGCTTCCCCTAAGTGGTCCATGTACCCAAGTAGTATATACATTGGCCCTAAAGTACCTATATAGGGACTACATTGATGCCAAAGTATATACTACTTGGGTACATGGACCCTTAGGGTTCTAGATCTCCAATACCCGAAACCCTGGACTCAAGGGCCTGGGGAGGGAAGCGAGTCAGTGCAACATCAGGTCGATATTAGCTCCAACAACATGCCACGAAACTGAAACTTGTAGTATATGCTCCTTTGGCGGATTAGGTTTAAGGTTGTGAGGGTCAGGGATTCGAGGTTTGTGTATGGCTTCATTTTCGGGTTTTGGTGTGGTGGGCTCAGGATCTGGGATTTAGGGGTTGCAGCTGCCTTAGAATTAGAATAGGGTTTTGGGGTATATCATACGATAACTATAGTAGGGAAAATCCCCAAGCTAGCATAGGTCTTCATTTAGGCCTTTATATGAGCGAAACCTTATCGAACTCTTTTGGAAACTTTACAGAGCCGTTGACAAATCCGCTCTATGGGTAAGCTCTTGAAACCTGACCCCCCGAAAAACCCTAACCCCTACCCATAGGCCCCTAAGTAGATCCTTTTTGTGGCTTATATCTAGAATCCGACAAGGTAATCCCCAAAAAGGAACTACTTAGGGGCCTATGGGTATACCCTAAACCCAAGAAAAAAACACGCAACTCGCACCGATTGTACGTGGAGTTAAGGGCTAAGGACCAGGATTCCAAGGGAGCTTCGAGAAGGAGTTTGGGGTTTAGGGTTTGAGAAGGGTCTATAAGGTTTAGGGTTTGATAAGGGCTTATAGGGTTTGGGGTTTTTAGGGATTAATGAGGGTTTATAGGGTTTAGGGTTAATGGGTTAAGAGTTTATAGGGTTTAGGGTTGAAAGGGTTTGATAAGGGTATATGGGCTGGCGCTTGATTATCCTCAAGCACGATGCCTTCACCGCACCTGGCGCCGTCCTCTGGCTTTTCCGCTTTAGGGCTTAGGGTTTAAGGGTTTAAGGGTTTAAGGGTTAAGGGTTAAAGGGTTTTAGGGTTTAGGGGGCCGAGGCTTCTCAAAATTAGTCACGAGACTGCCATGTCAAACTGAAGACACCCTGAACTCTACCCCCAGGCAGCCTCAAATCCTAAACCATCCTAAACCCGACGCCCCAAACTTCACGAACCACGCCTCCAAAGACAAGAAGTTCCTAAGCACCGCTTAGACTTTATTTTATTGCTTTCCATGTTTGCTTTCTATGCTTAGCGCTACTTTCGGTATAGGGTTCAGTTTAGTTCTCCGTATCAGGTTCAGATTAGTTCTCTTGTTTTGTGCTAGGTTAAACCCTCAACCCTTAACCCCGAGGCCAAAACCCTAAGCCCCGAACCCTAAACCCGCAACCCCAAGCCTTATAAATCCTAGCCCTTTAAATCCAAAAACCTTGGCCCTAGACCCTCATAGCACAAAACCCTAAACCCTAAACCCGATTAGCACTAAACCCTACACCCTAAACCCTCATAGGCTATTCTGATGGCTACAGTGTTCTTGTGTAGTTTCTACGGCCCCTGAGGTTCAGGGCCAACGTCTTCGGGCCTGGACTCCACCCTCCCTGAAAGGGTTCAGGGCTTGGGGTTTAGGGCTTAGGGTTTATAGGGGGTTAGGGTTTAGGGGTTTAAGCTTTAGGGTTTAGGGTTTAGGGCTTGAGGATGTAGGGTTCGGGGTTTGAGTGGGGTTTAGGGTTTAGGGTTGGGGTGTTGGAGTCCAGGGCTTAGGTTTAAGACTTAGAGAACAGACAGGCTGCTTGAGCCGCCTCTCCAGAGCTTTACATGGGGGTTTCCGAAAATAGGGGACCCTAATACAGTACCCCAAATAGTAGGATCCTTATTATAAGGACCCCAAAATAAGGTACCCCTAATTTTTCGGAAAGTCCTACATGAAGATTGGCCGACTTAGGGCCGAGGCCTAGGCCTTTACGCAGGCGCCGAATAATGCTGGCACATCGACCAAGGGATCAAAGGAGAGACCCTTAAAGGGACCCTTGGGGTTTATATAGGGGCTTTATGAGGCTATATAAGGAGTATATAAGGGTTATATAGGGTATTGGGATTAGGGGTCCCTTCTAGGGGTCCCTCCCATTGCCTCTTAAATCGAACTGCACATGGAGTCGGCATACTAAGCCCATGATCCTTGGATTGCCGGGTCCGGGGGCCGCGTTTCTGAGGCTTTGGGGGGTTTAGGGCTATTGTCCGAACCTCCTACGAGGAAGTCCACAAAACTGACCAATGTTGCAGGACAAATCATACTCACCGGAGTCACGGGGTGACGATTCCGGCTCCTCATCATGATGATCTCCATGATGGCAAGCCTAAACCCCAATAGCCCTACCGTAACACGGTAGCACGATGCTATTTACTGTTAGTCGACATGGGTTACTACATATACAAAATGGGCTCTTATTAAATTAGAAACACAATAATGCTACAAAGATTCCGATTTTTCGGCATGATGGCGACAGCGAAGAAGGGGAAGCACGGCGACCGAATCCACTACCGGAAGATCTGGAGCTCAGGGCAAAGCTGGTGGATGCCAGGCTAACTTCACAGCTTAGCTAAACCCTAAACCCTAAACCCTAAACCCTAAACCTTAAACCTTAAACCCTAAACCTTAAACCCTTAGGGTTTGGGGGTTTGAGAACATGAACACCGGCCCCGGCCCCTCCTGAACAAACCACCGCACTGACAAAGCTCCGGTCTAACCCTAAACCCTAAACCCTAAACCCTCAACCCTAAACCCTAAACCCTAGGCGTTTCGGCTGAGGACTTGCAGTTTTCCCTCGGGATCCTTGTCCTTAGCCTAAACCCTTTGCGTGGTCTGCGTTGACCCGCAACTGCAGAGCACTGGTCCGCAAGTGCGCAGTGCGACTGTAACCCGAACCCTCGCGCCATAGGGTGTCGGTGCTATCTACGCCTTGCTCTGTACCTTTGAGGAGGAGCCTGGCTTTGGCCCTACTGAGGTAGCTGGCCCAGAAACCTGGCGGTTTCCGCAATTCGCTTATATATGCCAGTGGGCGTCCCACTGCATATTGTTCTTTTTTTCTGTTTTGCTCTGAAACTCGGAGGAGGCCTCGCTGAACACGGCTGCAACAGGTGGCCGAGAGCCGGCGTGGCACAGAAAGAGGAGGCGGCTGCGAACCTTCGCAAGGACCGCTCTTCGCAATTTTGTATCTGGGGTGACTTTACCCAAGCAAGACGTTCTTGCAGCGGCCAGAACGCTGGGAGGACATCACTCGCGTTCCCATCTACCAGAGCTGGCGTTGAAGCGACTCAACATGTCAGCCGGAGCAGCACAACCATGGTGGTGCTACACATGCAATCGATGGTGCAAGCATACAGCCGTTTTTTGCAGTGGATGTGGCTCGCAATGGAGCAAGGCCTCAGCGAGACCGAAGCACCAATGGCAAGACGAAAGCAATGGCCGTCGACAGTGGCCGGTGTCGCCCAGGAGGCGGACCGACCACAACCCTTGGAGGCCGCCCTCCCCCAGGAGAAAAGGGAAAGGAAAGGGCAAACAGGACAGCGGCAAAGATGGTGCAGCCGCAGATGGCAGCTCTCGTGCAGAATTGCCGCAGCCTCCTGCCCTGCAATCGTTGCCACAGCCACCGGTGGCCAAGTTGCAGGCCCAAAGCCCCGGCGCAGTCTGGACCCCCGACTACACCAGCTGCTTCGGAGGAAAAGAAGCTTATCATGGAGCTGATGGCTTCCCTGCAGCCCGACCAGTTGCCACCGGAGCTGCAGAAGAGACTCAGTACCTTTGCTCGCGACGAGACCCACCAGCAAGGCAAGAATATGCACCGACTGGTGTCGGAGCAAACTCAGCTGCGCAAGCAGCTGGAGGCGCTGAGAGCAGACCGGGCAGTATTTGCCTCCGCATGGGAGCAATATGTGATACAATTGCTGGATTTATGGCAACAACAAGGCGAAGCGAGAATGAAGGCCCTACAAGATTTTGCGGCCCAGGAAGTGGACTTGGCCACCCGGTTGGCCTCGGCCACACAAGCCCTGTCGAAGGCTTCGGCAGCAGCTGCCGCGAACACGGATGTTGGTCAGCCCGCCTACTTCATCGACGACGACGACGAAGAGGACCAGGATGCGATGGCAACAACAGCTGCGGAAGTCGAGGCCGAAATCACAGAGCGCAATCGCAAAGCGCAGCAGAGCATGCAGGAGCAGCAGCTGAAGATGCAAGAGCTCCTCCAGCAGGCCAAACAAGAAGCCAGCGCGCACGCAGAGGAGGTTGCGGCCCACAGGGAAGGCAGCAGGACTCCACGGCGCCGCAGCAAGCAGTCCGAGCCAGGGCCGCAGCCAGAGAAGGAGAAGCCATCCGGTGGTGCGCCCCCTGGCAAGGCCCACACAGTTGCCTCATAGGGGTGTGTGGGCCGACTATACCCAGCCACTCAATCGTGGAGGACTGGGATTGTGTTACCCCCTTTTGGGGGCAAGTTTTGGCGGCGAACCTGCAGTTGGAGGTTACACTACAGGACCTTGCGCTTTGCTCCGGGTTCCCCACCGCTGAGGACCCCAGGCTTTACAGCGGAGGCGATCCTTCTGTACCGAGCTTCTGGAGAGATATCGCGGATGAGGATGAGTTGCTGGAAATGGCTTGCGGAATTGACCAATGTGACCGATCCTTCCAGCCCTTCACGGTGAGCTGTGGGCAGCCCGTGAGTGCGGCAGATGTGGATGGGTCCCTTGAGTCTCAGGCGCAGGCCATTTTCCAGCCACTCATCGATCGCTTTGTACCGAAAAGGCAGGCTCGGACTTTTTCCTCTGCCCTCCATGTACATAGCCACCCTGTACAGCTGCACTGCACATTGTGGCCGGACCCCAGCACTCAACTCTTTAATGCGTTGGTTAGAGAGTTGTCGAGATGCCTCCGCCAGCCCCCATGCAGCCACCTCGCCAGTTACAAGGTCGGTACCTGTCGAGCCTTGACTGGACCATGCGACAGCCAGTTGCAAGATCCCCTATCGCAGCGCGTGCGGCCTGTTGCCAGCACCGCCTTCGTCCAGCCCACACCCGCACCTACACAAGGTCAGGCACAGGTGCAAGTTGGCCTCAAGCGTCACCATCCCGGCGCGATCGCAGAGCGCCCTCGGCCTGTCGCTAAGCCATCTGATATTGCGTACATGAGAGCTGCGCGAATCAGCATTGTGCCAGAGGGATTCGACTACACGCAGCTCACCTGGCCAAGTGAGAGTCTGCCATCGACGTGGCAATCCCACGCTGATGCCGCGGGTGAAAGACGCTACACCGTCTTCGAAGCAGGCGGTAGGCCGAGGACGCGACGATGTGAAGCGGAATGGCTACTCGATGACATGCTGGCCGATGCCATTGCCAGTTCGTCACATGTCATACGGACTGCACAGCTCATAGAGCGTCCCATGTTCGGGTTTCCGACACCGCAGATTGTTGTCACTCATGCAAGCTCGCCTGCTACGGCCCTGGCGGTTCCCTTCGATTACCGCCGGACACACGGATGGGTGATCACGCTTCACGTGCTTCCCGTCGCCGCCCTCGATGATCTGCCAGCGCTTGGACCCACAGGCGCACCCAGGCCCACAGAGCTGACAGCTGAGGCAGGCGCACTCACTGCTCTGGCCGACTCGGCAGGTCGTCGGCATGTTGTCATCACACAGCCTCTTGCCAGATACGAATGGTTTGCCCCCGTTTTCGGTGAAGGGGAAGAGCAAACTGAGCACACAGATGGGGTTGCCCCTGAAGGCATCCCGCGTTTCTGGCAAGGGCCGCATACGCAGCTTCGGGATACTTCCACGACAACAACCACCACCACCATAGACCCCGAGCTGCGATCCCGGCCGGTGCGGAGGCCAATGCACCTGACCAACACAGACTTGCTCCCCAGAGCAGTCGGCGAGGCCCCAGGTGCACACCTCCCGATCCCTCGCCTCGGGCTCTTCTCTGCCTTACGCTATGAAGCCAACGGGCGCCTCCCGTACCATATGCTAGTAAGAGGCGCAGCCCCGATGCGAATGATTGCCACGACCTCCTGGACTCTCCTGGATGTGTGCAGCCTTGCTGCCGACCATGTGGAGGGCGGCGCAAAGCGTATACAGGTCATTACGTGCCCCATCCCAGGCCTACTCCAGCCACAGGTAGTAGTTACGGACCAGGCTGTCGATGCAGATCACTACCTACTACCAGTCGATCTTAGGACTGCACCATGTGGGGATGTCGTGCCGGTCCCTTTCCGAGCAGGTCTCGGGGTCTACGACATGATACAAGCGATTATCGAAGAGCTCCCGGACAGCCGAGAGTTCCTGGAGAGCGCCTACCAAACCGAAGGTCTTTACTTTCGCGACTGCAATGGTGTTGTTGTTGATCCCTTGCAGCAGCACCCCCTGGCAGCACAATGGCTAGTGTTGTGTCGAGGCCCTCCGCCTTTCCCCCAGAACAGGATGCAGAGCGTTGCCAGTACAACGACGACCACTGCCATCTGTGAGCCCCAGAACACCACCCACACCACCACTGCGATTGCATGTCAGCCTAAATGGCCCCTCACAGCCCCGCCCGAGCCTGCCGAGCCCCCCGCACTGCTCACCAAAAGCCACAGAGCGGCCGACCCGAAGGCCGATCAATGCGTAGCTCCCTCGATGGAGCCAGCACTGCTTCCTGCCTACCTCTGCGACAGTCGCTTTCAGACAGGGCCCGCCTGTGTCTTTTCTTGGGGCCGAGACGTGCATGTGGCCAATCGGGAACTGTTCACTGTCTTTGATGTCGAGAGACACTGGACAGTACAGCGACGTGCCAGAGAAGACTCCCTGCACAGCATTGTACAGGCCGCAGTCAGCATGGCACCCTTCAGGATTCGCAGTGTGCAAATTCTCACAGTTCCTGTGCCTGGCCTCCCGCGGCCGCAGCTAGTCCTCAGCAGAGCCCGAGACCCGTTCAACCTCGTGCCGATTCCTTGGGATGCTAGGCCCATAGGTGGGGACATTAGGACAATAGGTCACCATGCGGGCGAGAACGCACTGGTGTTCTCTGACAAGGTGCAGCAGGCCCACCCTGACTTGCCACACCTCAAGTCCGACATCCTCACAGAACAAGTGGTTGTGCTTGATGCTCTAGGCTTCGTTGGAGCTACACTCCCCGCAGACCTCGAGCAAGTACAGCACTTCAGAGTTGAAGGCAGCGCCGCGGCCTTCTTTGGGTTTGCGCTAAGCACATTTGGAGGGCCAGTCGCCTTCGCTGACTACGGAAGGGCACCGTCTTCAACAAGCACGACCACTCCGCAGGGCGCACCGCCCGATTGCGTCTATCGGCTCACTGTCATCTGGGGCACATGTGTGGCGTATGATGATGTCCGCCCCCCTTGCCACCAGCTAGACACTATTTTGCGCCGCTTGATTCTTGAAGTCTTTGCCTGCAGCCCCCGGAGCAGCCCTGCACATGACCTCTTTCTGGCTCTAGCGAAGGAACAGCCCCCTCCACGGGATGGCGTGCAAGAGGTCCTTTTCGTCATACTCGGTCCCGGTTACGATTCATGCCCCACAGTCATCGTAGATGAAAGAGACAACGGTCAGGCGCTGCATGCCACCGTCCTCTCACACCAGGCGAGGTGCAATGCCCTGGTCCACCCACAGTGGCGCAACGTCGGAATCAGCATCGTCGTGAATGCGGCCCCAGGTGCCCTCGCCTGCCGGAACGCTCTGACCGGCGACTACTTGCAGTTCATGGACAGTTACAGCAGGCCGGCATCATTCCCCGTTGCCGCTCTGTTTGAAATAATACCGCTCCTAATGCCCTTCGCGTGGCCACTTTACATAGGCGAAGGCACCAGGTGCATGGACATCGAGCATGCGGCCCGGCAAAGACGCAGGCAACAGGGCCTATGGAGACACGAAGAGGGCTCCTGCCTCATCTTAGGAGCCACGCACGGGCCGGTATGCCTACGCCTAGGCATACCAGTCGTCCCTGACAGGAATGAGGCAGCACAAGGCGTCGCCGGCTTAGATGCCACCTGCCCGATCCATCGCACCACGCTGTGCGAAACCACGCTCATCGAGCCGGGGAAGGCGACATTCATCACCACCCTGCCCAACTCCCCGTGCAAAAGCATACTCATACCACATGTTGACTGCATGCGACACCAGATGATCCTTCTGGTGCTCGAGCAAGCGATCCAGGTCGGACCGCTTCCAGTGGCCCCAGGTTCGTTGTGCCGGAGGCCACCCAGAGAGTGGAGGGACGGAGACGTGATTGAGGTCGTCTCCATCGCAGACTCCGCCGTCCCCGAGTACGAAAGGCTCGCGGCCGCTCAATACCCGCACGCAGTTCCCGTATGCCCCCCTACAGACAGCAGCCTTGCACAGCCACCGCGCATACCGACGCTTACAGTGGCACGCTCTGACGCGCCAGCTGCTCTGCATGTAGGATGGGCTAGAATATCTGCGCCGACATCTCTGCCTGCAGACAATACGACGGCCGAAGGCGGCGCCAGTGGCAGCCTGAGTCTGCTCCAGGTCAAAGCTAGCGTCAACAAAAAGACAATCCCAGCAGAGCCAGGCCAGGGCAAGTCAGCTGCAGCAACCATGGAGGCGCACTGGCACGAAGGGCGTTGCGGCAGCCACTGCATCCCCACGCCCTTTGGGCGACGTACAGTTGCACTCAGCAGCGTACTTCCCCACACTGCCAGCCCTGTGGCTCGCATTGCACCGGCTGCGTCCGACCAACTACAAGCCGAAGCACCGCAGCATGCGTTAGGCACTACGCCCGTGCCGACCATACCTTCCCTTGCCGAATGGGGCGACGCATGGATCAGTACCCCACCAGGTACGTATCAAGGCGCCGCCCAACACCTGCTTCAGGCCAGAGACCCCCCAGGGACGTGGACCCCACAAGCAATACATGTATATACTGACGGGTCTGCCGGAGGCGGCGCAGCGCCGGGATGGGCCGTCACCATTTTCGAACTCTGTACGAATGGGGCAGAATATTGGGAGAACTTCCTGGGGTGTTTCGCCGGTTCCTGTCAGGCGTTTGCCAAGCGAGCGACGGCCGCCGCTGAGCATAACATAGACGCCGAAACCGCAGCCTTAGCGGTGGCCACGGTCTGGGCGGCAGCGTGGCCGCCAAATGTGCCAATCTGCGTCTGGTGCGACTGTGAAACAGTAGTGCACGTTGCACAGGGCCGTGCGGACGCTCACCATCCAGGCCGCACCACGCAATTGCTTCGATCATGCCGGCAGCTCTGGCAACTGCTGGAAAGACGTGCCGTCCCAGCACGCCTCCAATGGGTAGCCGGACATGCTGGAGTGCCTGGAAACGAACTTGCAGATCAGGTGGCAAAAAGGGCCTGTCGAGAAAGCATGCCCCCGCTGCCCGACGCCTTCTACAGTTTCCTACAGCATCCGGGGCTGCCGTGGCTATGGCATGCATTGTACCCATCAGCGGCGCTGCCAAAGCTGGATCGGCTGCAATGCTGCGGCTACGAATCTGCAGACCCTGTGCCCCCGCACTGCTTCCCGAAACCTACCCTCGACGCAGGCACAGGCGAGGCCGAGCATCAATCACTGCTACTCTGCACCTACAACGCACAGACGATGCTCAAAAAGAAAGAGCTCTGCCGCACCCAGTTCCGGGCCAAAGGAATACACATCGCATTCCTTCAAGAGACACGAATAAGAGCCGGTGGCATCTGCACTGCGGCAGACTACATCACGGTCAGCAGTTCTGCTGCCCATGGCCAAGGCGGCTGCAGCATTTGGGTGGCGGCCTCTCTCCCGGGCTGCCACGTCAAGGCCAATCACATCAAGGTGATCCACCAGGATCCCCGCATCCTGTTGGCCCGCCTATGCACCTCTAAGCTTGATTGCTTGCTGCTGTCCGCGCATGCGCCGCACTCAGGCGCGCCAGCGCCCGAGAAAGAGCAATGGTGGGAGCGGCTCAACAGCCTCCTCAAAAAGCACTACACTCAGAGCATCCCGCTGCTCGCTGGCGTCGATGCCAACGCGCAGGTTGGTGAAATAGAAAGCCCTGCCGTTGGCAACCATGCGGCTGACGAGGAGACTGTCAACGGCACCAGCCTGCGTGAACTGTGCGACAGCTACAGCCTCGCCCTTCCCACGACTCTTTGTGGGTGGGACGGCACTGCCCGGCAAACCGACCCAAACGCGTACACCTGGGTGGCACCCAATGGTGCCAAGTATAGGATCGACTACATCCTAATACCACAGCCCTGCCTGGATGCTGTCGAGGCCAGAGGAGTGTGGCATGCATTTGAGACCGGCGGTCCTGATGACCATTTTCCTGTTCTCACCCGCCTACGTCTGCGTGCCAGAGGAGATCGCGCCAACTCCCTCAATTACCCGCGACTGCACTTCAAGAGAGCCCAAGACGTGTGGGAGTCTCCGTGTGACTTCACCCAAGTCTTCCAACAAGCGGCCCAAGTCCCATGGAGTGTCAACATCCATGAGCAAGTAAGCGGGCTGGACAACCTTGTCTGGAAAGAAGCAGCACAGGCCCCACGGCATAAAAAGCCCTCTAAGAAGTACCTGAGCGCAGAGGCCTGGCAATGCATCCTGGCGCGAAAGGCGGCCAAGGCCTGTGTCAAACGATGCGCCGACAGGTATCGAAGGATGCAACTCAGTGCCGTCTTCAGAGCCTGGAAGCGAATGCCACATCGCCCACGATGCCAGGCTGCGGACGCTTCCGACGAGTACCGCAGGATAGATGAAGCCAGGCAGCACCTCGAGACAGCCCTAGATGCCTACAGAGCCCTTCTGCCCGCCCTCAGACATTGCATCGAAATGTCCAAGGCCCAGTACCTGACAGGACTGGCGCAGGAGTACGAGGAGGCTGCAGGTGCTAAAGACACGCATGCCCTCTTTGCAGCGTTGCGCTTTTTCCGTCCCGCAGGCAAAAAGGTCTTCAAGCCCTTTGGGCCAGCTGCTATCCTACAGGATGAAGAAGGCCGAGCAGTCTCCACCTACGCAGAACAGCAGGAGGTACACCGCAGGCATTTCCAGGCACAGGAGGCAGGCGATGCCACTACGGCAGAAGCATACTGTGCCCAGTCTGGCCCCCCGCAGCCTGAAGGTACGGCATCCCTCGCCGACCTTCCCACGCTGTCGGAGGTCGAAGCCATTATACGAAGCGCTGCCGACGGCAAGGCCCCAGGACCCAGCGGTGTGCCGAGCTGTATATGGAAGTCGGACCCACCGACTGCAGCGCTTGCACTGCTACCCATATACATCAAAAGCCACATCCGGCTGACTGAACCGGTCCAGTACCGTGGCTGCCGCTTGGTCGCGATGCTTAAAAAGTTAGGCCAGGCAGTGCAGGCTGCGCATTTCCGCTCTATCGCACTTTTCGATGCGACAGCCAAATTTTACCACCGACTGCATCGCAGCAGGTTGGTCAGCGAACTACAGGACAACAACCTCCCCCTGCTCCAAGGATGCGTCCCTGGCAGTGGGCCAACGGCGCTCACCCATCTCCTGAACACCCATCTAGGCATCGCACGCCATAGGAAAGAAGCGGCAGCGATACTCTTCCTTGACCTGCGTGCTGCCTACTACCGGCTGATCAGACAGGCGGTGACGGGCGAAATCACTACGGACCAAGAGTTGTGCCTTCTCCTCGATCGCATGGGGATACTGCCGGAACACGTCGACGAAGTCGCCAGGTTTGCTAATGCCGGTGGACTCTTGAAATCCGCCAGTCCGCATTTTCGCAAAGTCCTTGCCTGCTCCTTTCATGCTACATACTTCGTCGTGGACGGCTCTGAGACGGTCACGAGCACCAGAATTGGGTCGCGCCCGGGAGACTCTATTTCGGACGTCCTGTTTGGCCTGGCCGTTGCAGACCTTCATAAGGCCGTTCGTGCCGCGCTTGCAGGTGAAGGTATTCAGGACCAGCATCTTCCCACCTGGGCCGATGACATCGCTCTGCCCATCAAGGCGGCAGCCCCCAGACTCCTTCCAATGGCCCAACTTGTGGCAGCCACCCTGCACAGAGAATGCAAGAATAGGGGAATGGAGCCTAACTACGATAGGGGAAAAACCGAGCTGCTTACGGTGTTGCACGGAGAGGGAGCGCTAAAAGTGAAGAGGGCTCTGTTCCGTACCGGGCAGGCAGAGCTGACACTGCCGACAACCCCACCGGTTTCCCTCGCATGCGTCACTCAATATAAGCATCTCGGCACATTACTGCGGTCGACAGGCAAGGCAAGGCAAGACCTGAGGCAGAAATTTGCGGCGGCACAAGCCGTTACCTCACCGTTGGCCAAGCCTGTGTTTCGACGCCGCACCGTCCCCCTGCCGCATAGGGCGACGCTGTTGGACACGCTAGCAATGACCCGGGCCACGTACGGCGTAGCCATCTGGCACAACCTTACATGTGCAGAGGAAGAAGCCTGGACCCAAGGCATCGCACACATCTACAGGGCCCTGCACAGACCACGACTTGTGGATGGCTCCCCGCGCTTCCCCGATGCACCAGAGCTCTGTCACATGTCGGGAAGGCCGCAGGCTCACATCCAGCGTCATCTCCTACAGCTAGAGCACCTCCGAGCCATCGGCGCCCAAAACCAAGAAGCACTGCTGGACGCCCTGCGTGAGGAGGCAGGCCTCACCGAGTCCTCCTGGCTCGCCGAGGCGCAGCAGGCCTTCGAATGGCTAGCCAGCATCCTCGGAGACACTATGGCCCGTCATGGAGTCGACAGCGCTATGCGTTACATCGAGCACAGCGCCGCCTTTCCTGGACAAGTGCGGAGCTGGATCCAGAAAGGTAAACGCGCCGCTGCAAAACAGAAGCCGTGTCGACCAGATGAAGGCCACGATGCCCTGCCACAGCCTGCCCAGGCTGTTGCCGTGTATCGATGCGAGTGCTGTCCTGCAACCTTCCCCACCCTTCAGAAAGTCAGAGCACACATGTGGGGACAGCACAAGCACAACACGCTCCTTGCCGACCTGGCACCAGCCACAAGATGCCCATGCTGCCTTACTGAGTTTTGGTTGCATAAGAGGCTCCTCCGACATCTAGCACATGACAGCCCCTACTGCGGCCACCATGTGCTGGCTGTGAGCTCTCCCTCCGCTACCAGAGCGCAGGCGCCAAAGGCCAAGGAAGACACACTCCCCAAAGACACCCTCCCAGCCATTCGCGTTGCAGGACCATTGCCTCCCTGTAAGGACGACTGGGTGTCTGCTGAGCAGCTATACCGCATGCAATCTTTTTTCGAAGATAGCGGCAGAGGCACCGTAGACCCGGTACATGCTGCACAGCGTTCCCTGTCCGAGTATGCCTGCGCGAACGCGGCTACTCGCGACGCTTTCCTCGAGTCGCTGGGGCCCGAGACAATCCCTTTCTTTCAGGCAGTACACGCAACTGACGAACTGCCCTGATGCTCCCCTAGGGTCGAGCTAATTAGCAAACCAACGCCGCGAAGAGCGGCCCAACGTCAGAGCTGACTTCAAGGACACCCAAAGCCAAAAGCCCTAAACCCTAAACCCTAAACCCTAAACCCTAAACCCGAACCCCACCCTTTCCGGCTCCTGGGTGTTCTCGCAGGTGCCGGTGAAATCGCCGGGGCAGCTGCAGCAGGCCTCGCACCGGTCACGGCGAATCATGACAACGTTTGAACAGAGATCCCGGACACGCAAGGACGACCTTACAGCAAATGATTTGCATACCAAACGTCCAGACAAACATACATACCTTCAACGCTGCAGCTTTGTTGAAGTATGAACCCTGGTATCCTTAAAGCCTACAGTAAACACTGCCAAAGCTATCAAATAGCAACGAGGCCTCGGAGTGCCTACGTTCCTGGGAGATGTGAACACATGAATAATTAAGGCGACTAGTTTTACTTTTCCACAGGTTACTGCTACAAGCGCTTTTAATGTAGTTTGTAAGTAGGTAGGTAGGTAGGTAGGTAGGCAGGCAGGCAGGCAGGCAGGCAGGCAGGCAGGTAGGTGCGTAGGTCGGTGGGTAGGTGGGTAAGTAGGTAGGTAGGCAGGTAGGCAGGTAGGCAGGTAGGAAGGTAGGAAGGTAGGTAGGTAGGTAGGTAGGTAGGTAGGCAGGCAGCTATGCACGCATGTAGGTATGTAAATATGTATGGTTGCATACTTACGTAGGTGGGTTTGGATTATGCAAGCATGGAGGTTTGTATGTACGCATGCATGTATGTTTGTAGGTATGTATGCAAGTAAGAATGTATGTGTCTATGCGCTCATGCATGTAGCATGTCCGCCTTATGTACGTGTGCCTCGGTATGTGTGTACGTTTGCGTGCGTGTGTGTGTGTGTGTATGTACGCACGTACGTATGTACGTATGTATGTCTGTACGTACGTATGTATGTACGTACGTATGTACGTATGTATGTATGTGTGTATGTGTGTATGTGTGTGTGTGTGTCTGTGTGTATGTGTGTATGTGTTTATGTGTTTATGTATGTATGTATGCAAGTTTTTTTTTGTATGTGTGTATGTGTGTGTGTACAATAGCTGTGTATATTCAGGGCATGAGCCGGCAGGGGTCAGATGCAACACTTGCCATGTTCTGCAAGGGTTTAGGGTGTAGGTGGTATAGGGACCTGTCTGCATCAGCAGTGTCGTGTGGAGAATCAAAGCCTGCCTGCTGCTATGAAGGAATGCTTGACCAGTCAATCCTGCCGGATGTCGTCTCGATCAGTGCGGCCATGCTGGCGTGCATAGAGGGCGGGTGTTGGGCAACTGCCCTCCAGCTCTTCGCGGACATGCCTTCTCTGACATCGACTCCAGACGTCCTGAGCTCACGATTGGTAAACTTTAAGCATCTGGGGTGTTGGAGTTTGGGGATTATCGTTATTGAAAGGCATAGGCTTATTACGAAGCCGTGCGAAGCCAGCAACCCCAATCCGTCCCCAAACGAAGGTATTATGCTGCCTAGGCCGGTACAGTACATGACAGCTCCCTCAGGCTTCGGCCTACACCACGGCCATCTCGGCATCGGAGGTTGGAGGGATGTGGACAGTGGCAATTCAGCTTCTGGCAGAGATGGCTGGCTGTAACTTGCCTTCACACAGCCCTAATGGTATGGACTCTGGACTACGACGCCGAAACACCGAAGAACAAACCCTCTATGTGGCCGCTTTTTTTGTAAGCCTAGATAATAGAAGCCTAACTAATTGCCCATGTTTTTCTCAAGATCTGTACTATACTTGTAGCATAATCTACCGCGAAACCCTTTTCTAACGACTAAGACCAGTATACTGTAGCGCCCTTCTAGTATATGGAAGCCCTTTAGAGGAACTCTCCAAGGAACTCTATGGTAGTTCTTAACGCCCCTATCCTGGAACCTTTACCCCAAGGCTCTATAAGGCTTTTAGGCTATTTTGAGCCTTAGGGTTATAAAGGCTAGCCCCGGGGAGCCTTATACGCCGAACAGAACAGGGAGGTCTGAGTACTAACTGGCAAGAGTACCCCTTTAATCAAAAGCTCCTATAATCTACAGAGTACTAGTTGTACTATTATATAACCCAAAACCCCATTCTGGTCCTCAAGGGCCCATTTCTTTCTGTTTCGGAGTTTTCAGGGCCCTGGCCCCAAACCCCCTAAACCCGAAGCCCAAAGCCCTGCTTGGGGGGTCTTCAGGGTCCCGTCACATCTCTCAGGCAGAGAGCCCGATACCCCTTAAGCATGGAGTATATACCTGAAATCATGATGTCGAGCATTTTTAATCCCCCCTATATTCCATTATGAAATCATAGGCTTTAACATATTATGGTATACGTTATATATGCCTTAATTCAGGGGTATATTGGGCTTTCCCTGAGGCACTTCAGTACCGGATACCGCTGCCTGCAGTGCCGGTATCAGTGCCTGTGAGCAAGGGGGCCAGTGGCAGGCAGCCACCCGGATGCTTTAAAGGAAACTTCAGGTGGTGAGTTTAGGGCATTTAGGGCTTCTGTAAGGCTTCTATAAGGTACATCCACCTTGTATGAGGCTCCTACAAGGTATACAGACCTTCTATAAGGCTCCTTTTATGGAAACTACCCACCTGAAAATGTCCTAGGATGCTAGAACGATTTCGGGAGATACCTAAGGCTCAAAGTAGCCCAAAAGCCTTATATAGGATGGTCTTTGGGCCCGAAAGCCTTAAAGTGTGAGTCCTCAGAGCCTTTGGGATGAGCTCTTTTGCGAAATATAGATTTAGTTCCGAGCCTGTACTTAACGGATTAACCAGCGTACTCAGCCACTAAGATCTGTCGTCATTCCCTCTCTGTCAAACTATACCTGTCGGAGCTGGCTATGACCATTGTAGAGTTCGTTGATTCAATATACTCAACTTACACATGGAGTTACGGACAGGGAGCCCTATAACTACCCTGAAGGCTCCCTTTTTTTTGGTATGTTCGAAGAGGGGTGTATAGGGCTTTCTGGGAAGATCTCTGAAGCTTTGAGTTTGCCGAGGCTCTCCACCTCCTTACCGGCATGCCGACCCTGACTGCTCAGCCCAATGTGCTCCTAGTCTAGTTTGGGGTTTTGGGTTTGGGGTTTTGGGTTTAGGGTTTGGGGTTTAGGGTTTAGGCTTCAGGGGCAAAGTTCTGGCGACGTTCAACGCCCGCACACCAGGCCCTCAACTCTAAACACCGCAAAACCTAAAGCCCACTGTGAAGACCTTATAGCTTCAACCTAAGCCCAAAAGCCCAAGTTGAACCGACAAAGCTATAACCCTCCTCTCGTTTGGGGTAGGATTTGCTGTGAACCCGAAACCCTAAACCCTGAACCCCGAAACCCTAAGCATTAAGCGGGCAGCACAATCTGAGGATCAGCTACAGTGCGACCATCAGCGCCTGTGCCAAAGGCCGCCCCGTTTCTGACCCTAACCCGAAGGGTCCAAGTAATCGATAACCATACTTTCCCAAACACTCACCTACATGCTAATATCCGAAACCCAAATGCCAATTTGTTCTGTGGTAGTAGTAGTAGTAGTAGCAGCAGGAGTAGTAGTAGTAGTAGTAGTAGTAGTAGTAGTAGTAATAAGTAGTAGGCTTGAAAGCCCCTTGAGGGTTTCACTCCGTTTATTTTGAGCTTAGGTTTTAGATTCGGGGTTTAGGGTATAGACCTAAACCCCTAAACCCTAAACCCCCAAAGCCCTAAACCCTAAACCCCCAAAGCCCTAAACCCCTAAGCCCTAAAGCCCTAAACCCCCCAAGCTCTAAACCCTTAAACTCTAAACCCCCAAAACCCTAAACCCCTAAGCCCTAAACCCTAAGACCCTGGAGGCCTCACGCTTACATCCGGCAGGTAGCCCCGTAACGACGTCGATGTAAGGCCGGACTAAACAAGAACAACTCCGCTATAGATCTGAAAGGACTGTAAAACCTGAACCCTAAACCCTTCATAAAATTCTGAGAGGGCCCTAAATCCTAATAGCCATAAACTTGGCCCTAAACCCCTCTATACAATTCTGAAAGGACATTAAATCCTAAGCCATAAACTTGGCCCTAAATCCTAATCCCTTCATGAGGTTTCTGTGTTAAAACTAGGGTGATGTCGAAGCAAGCAGGACGGTAGGGGATCGGATCAGGCTGTATTTGGTTGAGGGCTTTAGGGTTCTGGGGGGGTGTACGATCTAGGATTTAAGGCAGAATCTAAGGTCTATAGGGTTGAGGGTTTAGTGTTCAGGGTGTAGGGTTTAGGGTTCAGGGTTTAGGGTTTGTTGGTTTAGAGTTAGGGTTCTGGGTGTAAAGTTTGGGGGTTTAGAGTTTGGGGTTGAGGCCTTGGGGTTGCTTGCCACCCTTGCAACAACCGTCGCAATGCCTCGGTCCTTGCAAATCTGTCTCAGGTCATAAATCCTTTTTCCGGAAGATGTCACGTCAGAGACATGTTGCTTTTCAGCTCAAGCCGGTTGTGAGTTATCCTATTCGAAAGCTAGCCAGATTCTCCAACATGTACCTGAATGGTAAATCAAGCCATGGATCCGATCATGAATTAAGGCGATTTCATGTCTATTGCTTATGTTCAGGGATGTCAAGCCCTGTAAAAACCCTTATAAAACCACTAGAGGAACCGTGATTTGCGGCACATTCCTTCAGCAAGGCATGTTGTAAGATCTGGGTACTGTAGAGGTTGCGCCGCAAGGAACGAGACCGTCGTGGACCGAGGTAGCTACAGATCTAGGTGTGGTTTAGGGTTTAGGGATGTTTTGGGTTTACGTGGGTTTGGGGCTTCAGGATTTTTCGAAGGTTTGGGGCTTAGGGGTTCTATGATGGCTTAGGGTTCAGGGATTTGATGAGGGTTTAGGGCTTGGGGATTGTCTGTCGGTTCACGGTTTAGGGGTTTTAAGGGGTTTAGGGTTGAGGGCATTAGGGTGTTCAAGGGGTCGTTTGGCTCGTGATGAGCCAAGCCGAAAGCAT